AAAAAAAAAAAAATCGGGAATTCCACAGGGAAGCAGCAAAGAGGGATCCTGGCTGTTAAAGCTGATACTCTGCCAAGCAGAAAGAAGCTGAAGAATGAGAGGCTGCCATAATAAAATTCGGATTTTTTTTTAATAGGAACAGAGCCATGAGCAGGAGAAGCCCAGGGTGGTTTGCTCTGCAAATCAGGGAGAGAAGTGAGGGGAATGTGAGGGGTTGGATTCTTCACCTGAGCTGACCTGGAATTGCTCCAGCCAGGGGAAGGAGATGGGTGATGCTTCCAGATTTTTTTTTGGTTTTGTGAAGTTTGTGATAATTTGTTGGTTTTTAGTAGTAAAATCGGTTAGATTGGGATTTTGGGGAGAAAATGTTCTCTGTGAGGAAGGCACAGGTTGCCCACAGAATTTTGTGGCTGTCCCATCCCTGGAAGTGTCCAAGGTCAGCTTGGACAGAGCTTGGAACAACCTGGGATAGTCAAAAGTGTCCCTGCCCATGGTCTGGGTTGAAATGAAATTATCTTTAAGGTCCTTTCCAACCCAAACTATTCCCTGATTCTATGATTCCCAAAAATACCCAACCCCAGCAGATTTGCAATAATTCCTACCAAGCCCTGGGAATAAAGAAAAGTTCCAAGTGTTGCCTGAGGTGAGTGCTAAACTTCTCCTGTCTGCAGGAAAGAGCACCCTGCTGTCAGAAATAAATCCCAAAATAAGAACTTATCCCAAATCCCTGTAATTATTCCTCTCCAAAACCCCAGCAGAGAACCTGGACTGAGCCCATGGTAGGAACAGCACCTGCTAAAACCAACATTATCCCACTTTTTTTGGGTCCATCTCCCCCTGAATCTGCATTTTGACAGGAACACCTCAGTGACCTGACCCACTGCCCAAATTTCAGCAGGAATTTTAGCAGGGACAGACTCAGCTCCAGGGGGATGCCAGATTAAGATTCCAAGCTGGATGGGCAATCAGACTCCTGAGTGACTCTTTTGTAGATTTTCATCCCAAAAAAACTTCCTGGAAAAGCACCAGCCACAGAAATATCTCCAAAGCAGCCTGTCCTAAGGAACTCTCAGCACTCAGAGGACATTTTGGGGGGGATGTGGCACTTTGCAAAGTTCTCTTTGCTCCTGCCTTCCTGGGAGAGGACAAAACAAGGTTTTGACAGAATTTCCAAGTATTTATGGACAAATATCCATTGGAAAAAACACCTGGAACAAGGCCTGGCTTTGCAAGACAAGAACAGCTCTGCAGGTGTAACGAGGCAAACAAAACCCATGAGCTGTGCTGAGGCTGGGAAGACACAGAATGGGACCCTTAAAACTTGCCAGGCT